GAAAGAGCTGGTAACCCGGTATCGAAATCTCAGCATCAACGATTTCGTCGTTAAGCCAAGATTCCGTTATGGCGATGACGTCGGGGATTCGTTCTGATACTATCGCTTTGAGTTCGTCGATCTTCGAAACGAGACTTTGTGCATTGGTATACAAAAATCTGAATTTAGCACGGGCAACTCCGGCATACAGGCGTTTATCCATTTCCTGAGATTGAATGCAAAAGCCGGTCTGAGCTGATCGGGATGAACTGCTTTCCATCACTCCTAAACTGTTAGAGTTATGGGCTTTCCCCAGAGGAAGGGCCTCTGGGCGCATATAATTTTTCCGTCCACTATTCTGAGATTTGTCTCGCCCAGACTCGACCGCCTGAGGACTTCCAATTTGAGCCCCCTCCATTTTTCTCGGTCCGCGGGTAAAAAGTCCCGCTGAAAAAAACCGATGGATGGACATGTTGAAGTGCCGATTTCCTGCTCAAAATTAGCCGCGCTTGTTCGTCATTCTCAAGGACAATTTTTAAGGGTCTCGGTCTGGATCATGTTAATTCAGTATAATTCAGTATTTATGAGGGATAGAGGCAGAGCCTTGGAAAACCCTATTGACAGATAGACGTATGAAAAAAAACATGCAGATATTTACATAGCAGTTATGCCAGTCATTGATATCATGAAAATGTTTGACCATCAAGCATAAGTTTATCTAGTCTTCTTTTAAAAGTCTCGACGTTTTCCGCTAAGACGACGGAGTTTGGCAATTTGTTCCATCCCTCAACCAGCCGGTGAGAAAAGAATTTGGCCCGCGAATCGAGTCTGGCATGTTTCGCCTTCAATTTGTATGGGTGCACTCGGAGATTTGTCGTCCGCGCCAGTTCGAAGAAGTCGTCAAACTGAAGAGCACAGTCTAGCCCTCGGACGATCCTGAAGGCCATGATCATGTCCCCTCTGTACTGCCTATAAGAGAGAGTCTTTTATCTGGCCCATCCTGAAAGCCTTTAATACTGTGACTTTCACGCCTCTTATTAAGATCGATTTGAGGTATTCCTGGAATATTTCTATGTCATGCTGTATTCTGTCCTTTGGAGTGTCGGAAACAGACTCAGGCATGCCCTTTATAACAATGCATTTACTGCCATTAACTAGACGGCCTTGTGGTTTAATCATACCTGCAGAGTCTTCATCGCAGATATCACGGCTACCACCTTCCACCGATTTAGGAAGGTTTGATTCGGCAGAACTAACGCATGACTGCCTGTTTACTACGATCTTTTGATCATTTATCGTTTTCAGCGGCGCGATTTTCGTCTGCGGCGTAGCCAACTCTTGTTCCTTTGTCTTACTATCTGTGCCTTTTCGAGGTACCCTGAGATTTATTTTTGTTCGCCGAGATCGCGTCTGACCACGCTTTTCCCGCACAAGACACTGGTTGTCATTCCTATCGAGCTCTAGTGGCCTACTATTTTCTTTCTTCTCTGTCCACACAGCCGAGGAGGCCGTGTTTGCGTATGTTCGCTCACCTTCATTCTCTTTGGATGAATAGCGAGTGAGATTCTTCAGCTTCTCCATGTGAACTTTAAGGCCCTTTATCTACTTATCCATTTCCGCAAATTTTTGAAGGAGTCCGAAACATGTCGTACAGGCTTAGTCTTCGTATTTGATATCCATACAACTTACTAGACTCCTTGCTCGTTTAGCGGGAGGTGACTTGACAGCGATATATACAGAGTTGCAGTCGTTTGTACTACGAACAATGTTTACTCCTTTATTTATGTCAGCCTGATCGCCGTTCGCCGATAGTCTAGTGGTGATCTCGCCGGTCACCCCACGACTGGACCTGGGTTCAAATCCCAACTTCGCTTGACATATATTCTTTGCAGAGTTATGAAGAGGATCATGAAGAGTGAATTGGTGCAATTCCCGGAAGTTCATGACTTGCAATCGAACTGTCAACATGGGCTCCGGAAAGGAGGATCCTGCACGACAACCTTGGTGCAATCTCTCCAGGGCTTGACCCGAGCTCTCGACGACGGGCACGCGGTCTACATAGCTTCCAATGACTTCCAGAAGGCGTTCAACATTGTGTCACACCAGAGACTGTTACGCAAACTGAAAGAAGGAATCATCGGCAACTTCCTCAAATGAATCGGAAACTTCCTTATGGGTCTACACCAGGTTGTGTGCATCAGTCAAGGTAAATCAGATCTTACTGTTGTCGAGAATGGTGTTCCCCAGGGGTCAGTAATGGAACCCATTTTCTTCTAATATACTTGGACGATTGTGCAAGAGCTTAACACGGCGAAGTAGCAATGTTTGCAGATGACATGAAGGTATGGATGGCAATTAGAGGCCCTGCCGAGTAAGAGAGACCGCAGATAAACCTAACTTTTTTGGAAAAATGGTCAAACCGCTGGCTCCTGCGGTTAAACGCTGGTAAGTGTAGCATAATTCGCCTAGGCAACACAGCCAGATCCGCCAGCACAAGTGGCTACTTTCTGTCGATGCAGCATTACAAGGTGTCGAGGCCCAAAAGGACCTCGGTTTGCTGACGACGACGAACTCCTTAAATTCAATTGCTCATTGTTCGAGAGTGGTAAAAAGAGCCATCAAGCGTGCGTTCATGGATTTTAACGAAAACGATTTCCCAAAGACATTCGCAACATTCGTCCGACCGCATTTGGAGTACAGCATACAAGCCTGGAGACCCCGGACAGTTGAACATCAAAATTGCTTCAAAAGAGTTAGGAGGAGAGCCCAGAAAATGGTTAGGGGTCAAATCTCCGTTCCATATGCAATCCGCCTAATAAATTTGAACGTTTCCCTTCAGAGTTATAGGCAACCTCACGGGGAGCTCTTGCAAGCTGTCCGCATAGTGGTGGGGTTGGACTGCAGCCTGGCCTTTGAGGGCATTTTTGAATTTGCTACCACGACCAAACTCCAGGGTCACCCGTTAAAATTGAGCGCTCAGCAGGCGAGGCTGGATGTGCGGAAGTTCTCCTTCTCTGTCCAAGCGTTCAAACCGTGGAATGTCCCTCCTTCAGCTGTTGTCATGACCCCATTGATACAAAGTTTTGAAAAGGAACTTCACATATTCATGTTCCTGAATGACCAAGAGCGATGGGAGATCAAGTTCGTCCCCTGAGACTCACTCCCATTTTGTCATACCATTATGGACTCACTTGAATTATTTTAGCCCGGACAATTTCTCTGCACACTGCGCCAAGTTTTACGTTGTAAAATGGGTACTCAAGGGCCTACGCCTATTTCTATCAATAAACTGAACTAAACTGAGAGTTGGCGTTGTGGGTTTAAGGTGCTTGAGAATCGCGAGTTTCTCCTTTGGCTTTGACAGTGACGATCCTGTTGGCTTCACTGATTACTACACCAATCCTCCCTACCCTTCGACAGGCCGGTCGGACCTGGGCGTCTGCAAACAATAAATGATTGACTAAATCGAAAGGCTCGTCCGATGTCAGCGGAAGATGCGTTGAAATTTCCGATGACTTTCTTAAATTTTTAATCGAGGGATAAGTTTAAACTCCTATCATACCGATATTTTGACGAAGGTAGGCTATGACAGTCAAATAGGACAAGTCATGGATCATAATAAACCGGATTTCGAAACATACATCAGCATAGGGATGTTAGGTGGTTTGACAGTGGGACCAAAACCCGTCCGTCTCAATGGTTTATTAGCAGACGAGGATGATAGTCCTTATAGATAACTCTGAATATAAGGGTGCTGTTTGTCGGCTGACGACGACAAATGGCGTATAGTTTTCTTTCTCGCTATTTGGTACCTGGCTGTCAACATCCGGCCGTTAGCGTCGCCGTCGTAAACTCACTGACTTACCTGCTCTCCATGTTTTATTAGCATCGTGTGGGAAAATTGGATTTTATAGTTATTCTTTCAAATGCGATATGTCTGTTTAATGAAGTTGACATCAAAAAACTACCTAAGCTTATGTGGAATGCATCTTTCTTAGCACCACGGCGTTCAAATTTACAGCACACTATAGAATGTCTTCCTACATAATCATGAATCATTGCTTGCATGACGTTCCTCGTTAACTACCAGCAGTGTTGTTTTGAGTACCTTTTCAGCCAATGCAATGAACCCTGCGCTGTTGATAAAGATATTTACAAATGGCCAGCATGACCTGACGTCATTCTTAATAAACTTATGTTTAAGTAATTTATTCTTCTCTCTGTGCACTCCGTAAACGACTTGTCGTGCTGTTCAACGGATATTTAGGCCTGCGTTCCTTATTACTGAACCAGTCTGAGGACTTCCAGTTCTTGCGCTACTGGAATTTGGAATTTCCATTCGTCGTCATTGCAAAAAATTGAGTGTAAATAATGTGAAGTCCATTAATCATGTATTGATGTATTCCGTTCAAATACATTCCTGAAGCCTGGACCCCAAATGGGGACAAGAAATTCGCAGTCTCAATAATGTCAAGACACAGTGCCACTCTCTGGAATCCGGAAAAATCAAAACCTAGAAACAGCGATCTTCACAAAATTGCTGTGATATCAGTAACGGCCATTGTAACATTACGTAGGCTAATGCGCCAGTTTTTTACAGGCAGAGATATTCATTTTATCAGTACTCAAAATGCTTGCTGTTGAGAGTTTGTACTTTTTAGAGGAATTTTATGAATTTGATGTGGCGACTGTAGGACATGCTGCTTAATTAATAGTAGCTTCCGGCAGATAATGCGAGTTGAGTAGGCAAACATAATTCAGAGGCTTAAAGACGTTCAGGTCTATGTCCCTCCGCCCGAAACATGTCTCATGTTTTTACCATGTCTGTCAGTGTTTATTTTCAATCACATACACTCTGACTATTTTGGAAGGCTCCGAGATACACAGCAGTTTATGTATCTTTAGCGAACTGATTGGCCTTGACAAACTGACTTGAACAGCCGAGCAATCGCGCCAAAACTTATCCAGGTTTGGCTAAAGGTGAAATATCCGACGTTCACGATCTTCGCTTGGGCAATAAGATGGACGTTACGGACAAGTTCCAACAGATCATCGTCAGCAAGCCATTTTCTACGTTTGAAAACTTCCAACAGACTTTAAAACTGTTTACAGAGGTTTGTTCTATGCTCGTGAACGTGAACCGTTGTAGTTAACAGGAAGCCAATTTACGATTAAGAGACGAATGCGACACAAAACAAACGCACCGATGAGAGACGCGCATATTTTCCGTTGCGTTACCTATGCGTGCATTTGCACGTTTTCTACAGAGTGTGAGGTCTTCTTCCACATTGAGTCGAAGGGCAAGTGTATCCGCGTTACCCAATTTTACATGACACACAACCACGAAGTTATTTACAACCCCGCCTTTGAAGAAGGCGAGTTTTATCTTTTATGTTTTACTATAGTCTTTTAAACTACAGACGACAATAGGTATGACGTGCAGTGCGATCTCACCGACCAGTTCGAAGAAATGTTCCCTGTAAAGTGCTTCGATACGTTCGACGAGTTTTGGAATCGGTTGAAAGAATTTCAGGCGGTAAGCAAGTATTTCGTTTCGGGTTCTCATTTATTTCAGAAAACAGGGAGTATATACATAAAGCACAATGCATGCAGATGGCCAGCCACCGCTCTTGACAAAGCTCACCTCGTGTATAGGGTCGTCAAAATCGAGTGTGTGCATTACGGCCGCCACGAATACAAATCAAACCAGCCTAATATAAAGTAACAGTCGTTTATTTGGACTCTCGGATTCTGCGTAGGATGAGTTGCAAAATCGGGTGCAAGTCCTGTATTCGCGTTACATCTGGGACTGGTCGTGTCGTCATTGGCAAATTTAATATGAAGCACAATCATCCAGTGCCAATCGAAAGCGCCATACAGTATCCGTTAAACACCCTCTTGGCAGACGAACGCAAGGTACGGGCTGCCTACCTATATAGACCCATTCTTAGAGAAACTCAGAGTACCACGTTCAGGCCGACGTCACTACGGAATTTGTAGAGACCTTTGCATCCGGCAGGTTCTCGACTTATAATGATTTCCTGCTCCGCTTGGAGGAGTTTCAGCAGGTTTTCCCTTTTCCCCTATCTTATGTCTCAGGTAACCGGTTTCTATTACAGCAAACGGAATTCGGACTTATGGCCTCCTGACGCGGTGAACAAGCAGCATTTGAAGTATAAATTTGCAGTTTTCGATTGTGTCCATTATGGCTATACTCACAGCAATCGAAGACAGAGGAATACCCCGAGAAGAGCTGGGTTTTGGTTTGTACTCCCGTACTGTTTTCGATTAAATTAGTTTTAGAAATAAATTCGGCTGCAGATCCACGTTACGGATCTCAACTGCTAAGGGTTATGTTGAGATTCTAACCTATGAGATGCGACACAATCATCCCGCGTCGAAGGCGTCCTCGGATGAAGTTCCCCCACAGGCATGGCTCCTTTCTGGCATCAAAATCGCTGAAGAGGTTCCGCTTCCTACAAAGCGTCGGCGTTCTTGGAAGCATCATTTGGTCCGCCATGCCACCGATGACAGACTTTCACCGCTATCGCAAACTCCAGCTGACAACGAAAGAGTACAGTTGATAA